ATGCAAAGTAATTTTGATTTTACAATAAAAAATACTTTTATGCATCAGAAAATTGTCAAATTTTACATGCAAAATCTTTATAACCTCCTAATAACCTCCCGATAATTATCAAATGTTTTCTTTAGAAAAAACTTTTTACTTTATCTGTTATTTTCACTACTGTATCTCAGTATGGGTTTGGTCAGTTTGACTGATCTCATAACCAACATGAAAAATTAGGAAATAGATATACAGTACATTGTTCGAGAATGACTACATATTATAACAAGAAACCATATATGTTTAGTCTAAATAGCTTAAATCTCATAACATTATACATCTATGTATATATATTATTTTATTAACCTTTCAGCCACATCTGACTAACATTACAGAAGTTGCAATGATGTAATGCACGTGCACTCATGTTACTGTATCCAATAGCATAATACTGGTCTTTACAAAATGACCTATATTTGGTTTGTTCTAGTGAACCAGTATTTTGCAAAATAAAGTCAAATTTCACTTATAATACATTACATATATATATTATTACTATTTACATATAAATTCTTAAATTTCAGTTATTTTTCTTAAAATATAGAACATTTAAATAAATAAATACAGAAATCAATGATTTTTTTAAATTACAAACCTTGTACTCATTTTCCCATTTACCGTAATTTGCTAGGCCTTGTCAAATTTCACACATGGATGATGTAAAACAAAATATTTTTTTTTATAGGTTTTATATATGCATTTTGAAACAACCAAATATTATTAATTACTCTATCAATATCACAGAATTCCACTGTAATTTATCAGGCTTACTAACTAAACTGCATTTGGGTAAAAAAAAAAGCTTTTTGAACATTATTTTCACTTATCCCTTCCTTCCGAGATTCAAGAAAAGGAAATAATCTTGTGAGCTTTCCACCTTCTAGAGACTGAGAAAACCATATTGGGTGAGGGGATGGACACTAAGTTTTCGACTGGTTATTCACACATCAAAGACAGAAGTAGTTGTACATAAGCAAGTATTTCCATAAATGAAAGAGGTGAGTGGGGCCCACTTTGTTTGATTTGCTAAATGTAATATCTCAGAAAACAGAAAAAAATAGGAGGTTCTTATTTTATATTCTAACTTGTCAATATTGGTAATTTGAGTTTCTAATTCATAAGGAACTAGACTTTGTATTTGGACCAAAGCTGCATTCAACATACAATGTGACACACAAAAATTGATATTTAAGAATTTTGTTTTAATATTTACTTGTAAATTAAGAAATTAACTAATGTATAATGCTAAAATTTTAATTATAATCTACAATATTATATCAAGTTTTGCAAGTCTACAAATGTGATGACATGCCCTTTATCCCTGACTATAGGAAAACCTGCAGCGACAGGGTTAAAGCAAAATTCACCTGAATCCCAATAATGTGTCTCAGACACAAAATTAACTTATTAAGCACTTATATTACAAGTTAGGAAAAATTAAAAGTATATATATAGACATTTCATGAAATAATGGATTACCATAAAACTGGTATCTTTTAATCTTAAACTTCTATTTAATGTTATTTTTACATCAAGTTATAGCAGTGGTCCCAAACATACAGCCTGTGAAAGCCTGATTTGTGGCCCAGACTATGATTACATATTGCATTATTAATCATTATATAATACTCAAGGGTGAGCAAAATTGTATTTGGGGAATGATGTATTCATCAACAAGCTCTAGCATGTTAATTGACTTTATGATCATCATCTGAAGTGGCCAAGTGTGGAAAATAAATGGAGACCACTAAGTTATAGACTAACTAAACAAGGATTAAAAGTACTGATTTAGTAAAGCTCTTTTACTTCCACACATTCAAGCTCAACATTTAGTTTCTTTTAGTATTTTAACCTAATTCTGTTATGGTATGAGCCTTCAAAATAGTTTCTTTCTGTGGTAGACTGGTATTAGCTAGTCTTGGCGAGTGCCATCAAGCAAGGTAATTTTTGTTGTTTTTATTTCGTGGATCTCATTTTCCTGACAACATTAATGTTATATTTTGCATTTAACTGATTTATCCTACTTACAGATTTTAAATGTAACCAATGAAAATGCAAAAAGAGGGCAAACTGGCAAGATCCACGACCAAAAGTTAGCATCAGAGTTAACATCTGAGTAGTGTGATATGCAGATATATCAAATGTTTTCTACCTTCTTTAGTAATATAGGAATTTAAAAAAAAATCATTTATCGAGTTTCTATGTAGTTTTAGCATAAACACATGTTCCAGCAAACTGCATATATTGCCTTATTCTAGTTATTTTGTTTTTTGTTCTTTATAGAAGAAAATGTTTCTTCTGCCTGAGAGAACACTGCAGTAATATATAGCATCAGGGTTGAAAGAATTAACGACTGAAATATCCTTTGCTGGCCGATGTGACATTGTCTGAATGTTAGAGCTAACCAATGCTGTGAAAGAACAAATGTAATAAGGTGTTGTTGTTGACTGGACAAAGAAGCTGAGTTTACCTATTAAACTCGGGTGCACTTTCTTAGGTCAGTTTTCTACATGGAGATCAATGAGTTCAGTCCTACTTTAAAATTGTTTTTATTTCGACAGAAGCCTGACTTGAGAGAGAAAGAAAGCTGTGTAGATAATTACAGTCCAATAGAAATGAACGTATTTTCACATATGGAAATGCTTAGAAAAATTTTTTTCACACCAATTTCAGGTCAGAGGCCAATAGTAACAAAATGGTGGATGTCTATATTTTGTCTATACAGGTACTATAGTATACAAAAAAAAAATAGTAGAAAAATAGTAGAAAAACAAAACAAGAAAACAAAATTTAAATAATACCATAATGACAAATCTGCAGTCTAGAGTATTAAAACTAGTTTTTAAGAGAAAAACATTTCATACAGTACTTTATAACATATTAGAATATCTTGACAATACAAATTACAAAGGGGTTAAAATATGGGAATCAAAGGTAATGAAATACATGAGCATAATGAGACAAAAGGATATAATATGTGAATATGATGCAAGAGGGGAATTTGGCACAATTCTTAAATAGTATTTCAACCCCTTCTCAACTTGTATTGGTGGGATATTTTGATATATTATGAAGTACTATACAAGATTTTTCTCTGTTAACCCCTTCCATGACCTGCCCAAAATAACTTGGGCATTTTCCATGTTACAAAAAATTTCTCATTATATTTTTAACTACTTGCATGTTATCATGTATTAAAATAGCCTATCAAAAACCAAAATCAAAAAAACCCTGCCTTTCTTAAAATTCATTTCCAAAAGGAAACCTGACACAAAAGGGGTTAAAAAACTAGTTTGAATACTCAAAACTAAGGATTTTGAAATAAGGCAAAAGATAAGGAAATCCCATATTCATTTATATTTTTTTAGTAAGAATATTACAATATTTTAAAAAAATACTGCAAAAAGTTAAAATATTTTAATAGGATCACAATGTGCATGAAATTTTCTTAGTTATAATGGTCAAACATTCTAAAATGACTTTATAATAATTATATTTGTTTGTGCAAAACTCTTTATTAGTACATAACATTATTTTGCTTCTGTTGATTCTAATGACCCAAAATTGGTGTCAAAAAATGTTTCTCACATTGCACTACTAAAGCTATTTATTGGAAAAGCAGAAAGTACAGAAAAACTTAAGATAATTTGATTCACAGGATTATAAAATAATCCTTCTGTGAAAAAGAAACCTGTTATTTATAGGACTTATGTTTATATCTACATAACCTGTTAATGAAAACAAAATACAGATGATAAATAATAAAAAGCCAGTCATCAAATGGTGTTTAAATTTCACTTGAGAACCAACACTTTTGTACAATCTGCAATTGTTTAAACATACACCAACAAAATGTAATTTAAAAAAACACAAGGTTTTTTTTATGTAAGAAACCTAATGGATATAAAACCTCATTGGTTATTATTTTTATCTTTAATTCCTTGAAGATCATAGTCATTACTATCAAAAGAACTTCATAGAAGCTACAAAGTATGTCCACGTGACTCATACTTACTCTATAAATTGTTTCAACCTTATGAAATATTGACTTTTACTTTAAATCATCACCACGACATTTGTTTATCTATTCAACTTTTTCAATAAAATTTAACTAATTTAAGATTATTCTTAAAATCCAACAGTCATTCTGCCCTTTTTTCAATTCCTTAACATACCACAGAAACTCATACCCTGCTAAGCCTTGAGACAGCTAGAGAGATGCAACCTTTATACTCATCAGAATTCTTCTTGACAAGAGCATCAATGAGATTAACTGCAGCAGTTACCACTCCCAAGTGCTGGTCATTCAGAAGATGGACAATTCTAGAGGTCCACTCACCACTGGGTATTATATCAGGCAGTGTCCGGAACAGTCGTAAGAGGCAGAGAGCTGCACTTTGTTTTACTACATCAATTGTTTCACTAAAATAAAAATCAACGTATAATGTTAAAAAACAGCATCTGTCAAAACAGTTGGTTAAGTAAAAGAACAAACATGTATCTAGAAACAAGGGATTTAATCACCTAAACTAATTGATTAGTCAAAATTAGTGTTTACAATATTCCAACAATTGATTAATAGAAATTTCAATTATATCAACTGTCTTTAAATCAATCAATTGAAATTACTATTAAACTGACTGTCACACAAATAATAAACTAATCAAAATTAGGGTTTTCCAATTACTGTTTTTGAATATTCCAACTGTCCAAGTAATGTAAATATTGCCACCAAGCTTATTCACTCTGTCACTGTTATAGCAAAGCTAGTTAAGATCCTTTGACTATTTACCACTGTCATTAATTTTGAATTGCTGGCTAAAGGGAATGCAAATGTATTTCCAAAATTTTTGGTAGTCACGTGAAACAGCCATCAACTATTACACATACACACACAAAATTTGGAAACTCCACAAGCCTGACTAATATCTATTATAAATACTTTATTTTTTACAGTGTATGTACCAAGCCTGTAGTTACAGAATATTTTAATTAAGGATTAGACTTGCTGAAGTAACAAGTTTTTGTTTAATGTGGTTTAAACCAGATAACTAATCAACTCATATTACTTGCTGCATGTTTTTTGTGTTGCCCTTAGAAAACAAAATTAATATTATTTATTAAATCAAAAAATATCAATTATACTGCCATTTATCATTTGCTATTCTAAATATATGTGTGTATATATATATATATATTAAGTCTGAAAAGTGTTATTTTTAGTACTGATAACTTAGATTACATCTTAAAGAACTGTGAATAAAGTGTTTGTTTGTAGTTAAGCACAAAACTCACAATGGGCTATCTGTGCTTTGCCCACAACAGGTATCAAAACCTGGTTTATAGTGTTGTAAGTCTGTAGACATACAGCTGTGCACCTGGGGGGGCAAATAAAGTGTACAACATATGTAGTAATGTGTATGATTTTTAGTAAACATGAAATGAGACCCCAAATTCACTATGTTTTTTTAAGCTATACTAGTATTGCACTCTGCACAGTCTAATTCTGCTTTTAAAATGTGATTTCTAGATAAATGCATCCAGAAGCACAAAAAACAGGAGCATAAAAAACAACTTTTTCTGTTATAATAAGAAGCTTATTCCTATAAAAACAAAGTTGGTTGATTTGACCAACCTTAGGACTGTGAAACTATGCATAACTTGGGATTTACTAGATGTATCTTCATTAAATTTGGTAAACTTTTAGTAAATGTTACAAGCCTGCCTTACATAAAAAATCAGATTTTTTATGTTTCTACTAAATATTTGACTATGAATTTTAAATACCTTCATTGAGTCAGTCCGAGTCAAAGATCAAGATCATGTTCATATTTTATTTGTATAATAAACTGTAGAACCTCCTAAGTGAATATCAAGTTTTTCGGTAAAATACTACTCTGAAACTTACTGTACAGAAATCAACGTACAGTTGAAAAATATGAAACAAGATGAATAATGTCATTTCTTCCTATGTACTGACTGCAGTATTATTCAGAAAGTTACAATTTATTTATCTTACCACTTTCAACTGTTAACTTTATTTCACATCCATTATCTTCCACGTTCATGGTTTAACTGACATACCTTGTACCACAGGAGCACTAATTCTTGTATAAAAAGCAATAAATTATAACAGGAACCTGTTAGTTCTTTAATCATAGAGCTAATGTAAACAGCACATGTTCTAGTGATATCCCAATATCCTTTCCTAAGCCTCGCTGTGTCTCACAAATTTGGATGTCCAAAATATTAAAAAAAAATCATGTAGCTTTCTAATATGTATTTTATAAAACAAAAAATATATCAGGTACTAGAACAGAACGTCCCAAAACTATTATATTTCATCCAGCTATCTAAGTAAGCTGTAAATAGGTTAGAAAATTCCATTACTGTTAAGAGCACCAAATGTGATCAACACAAACTATTAATTCTTGTTGGTTGAAAGATGATGTTGGAAAAAACGAATGCATAATTTTAAGATTTATGTACAGGAGAATGTGATCTTTCTATTGGTTATAAACAATAAAGTAAACTGCAAAGCTGATTAGCAAACAATTTTGAAACTCAGAGAAAGAGGGGAGAGGCTTCTCAGGTGGGTATGATAAATTTATTGATATTTCAGCAAATAAAGAAGGTAGGAGGTTAAAATTTTATTGGTCTGAAACTGCAGCGGCCTATGTTAGAAGTTATAAAATTCTGAATTGGAAGAATCAGAGTTCAGATGAACTATGTGACAAAAAGGAAATTTGCTATCTTCTTAAATATTTCTTTTTCAAATTAAGAATTTGAAATTTAATATACAAAGTTGAAGTATAAACTGAGTTCTCATGCTAAGTTTATTGACATACATTGAAAATAAAGTTCCTTAATTAAAGTTTGCATGTAACATTGTAAAAGGTGACAAAATGCACACTTTGAGTTTTTAAGTTACTTATATGGAAAGAGTTAAGAAGCTCAAATACTGCATATTTTTAACTGTCGTGGCACATGCACATCTATCTGTTATGTATAAATCAAAAGGTGACAATTTATATCATTTCTCTAACTTAAATGATTCTCTATCACACACATATATATTTCTATTTCCGAAGAGCCACTGTGTGCACACAATTTAAAATCTATGATCTCAGGATAGATCATAGAAAACAGCCTTATCATAAAGTGACCTTTTTTTTTTTTGGAGTGGAGAGGACATATACAAAACTGGATAATTTTAAGTTTACTTTTTGATCATTTGCAAATACATATTTAAATATGAATAAAGTTTTTCACTAAATAAACAGTTGATGAAGATTTCCAATTTTTTCCAGCAAACAGTGTAAATATTGAACGGATATAGTACGGATGCATGCTATTCATTATTTGTGCTGATAATAAGAACATATTAAGTAACCTTATACAAATTAAACAAATCATAACTGGAAGTAAGAAAATTTATGATAATGAGTTTTAACAAACACTAACATCAAATTTTTCCAGATATTAAATTTTTACAAAATGACATTAATAAAGTTCTGGCTTCAGATTTTTTTTTTCATGATTAGGATTTACTAATCCAAAAAAAAGCATTAAGCAAATTTTAACAAACATAGTGATATTGAAATTGACCTATAACACTATCTTCTAATAATCAAAAATGTATTTCTCAGAAAAACACTTTAACATATACTTTTATTTTTATTGACAATCATATAGTCACCACTCAAAAAACATTATATGAAATGCAGTCATGAAGTATACTTAAACCAGTTTTTAATGGTATTAATTTAGATGACTTAAATAAAATAACACCAAAAAGCATTATGGAAGTTTTCCTATGACAAGAATAATCCTCCAAAAAAGAAATCTTAAGTATAAACAAAACATTGATACCATCTCTGAATTTCTCAATCAGTTTTCTGACAATATGTTAGCAACTATACAAAGATTCCTCACACAATGTTGACTTAAATGTTAAGTTTTCAAGGTTTTATGTCTGAAGATATTCTATAGTTTTTACACTTTCACTTTACCAACTTCAAGGTTTTTCATAAAATATTTGGATGTTAAAAACATACATACTATTCAGAATAATTCCTCTTTGATAGACTAGTCTCTGCAAGATTTCTTTCCTTTTTTATTTGGTTGGTTAAAATCCAGTTCCTCTACTTTTTCTAACCAAAATTATTTTAAAATTCCATGCTTACAAGTTCCTCCAAAATATACCAAAGTTCTTGATAAGGCAGTTGTAAATGTGCTTACTTTCCTAATATAGGATTATTCCAGGGAGCACACAAAGTAAGCATTAGAACATTGCTCTGTTGAAATTGAAAGCATCACACATATACAAAAAAAAAAACATCTTTAAAAATATTTTCTTTTTTTTTTTTTTTTTTTATTAAAAGATTAAGTAGTTTTGTTATAAATTATATGCAAACTTATAAGATGAAAATCTTTGAGACTGAACTGGTAATTAACAAGTTAAAGCAATTTAAGTTAGTAAACTTTATACAAACAAAAATTCTTAAACTTAACACACCCAGAAACTAGTAGTTTTGGAATTTCAGATCCAAATGTTTCAGCCATCTCCCTGCTACCAATGTTAGCAATACACTGCAAAGCAAGATTGACGTGGATGGGGTTTCGAGATGATAAGTCATTCTTAATTGACTGGATAATCAACTTCATTAGTTCATTATTGGCACTAATTAGCACAGAGATAAACAGGTACCCCTAAAAAGAAAATTTGGGAAAAATATCAACTGAATAATCAAACCAATAACTTCATTTTAACCATTTTATACAGCATTCAAATTCATGAGTTCTAACACAAAACATATTTTAATAAGAAACTAGATTGTGATCAGGAATTTATTGTTAAACAAAAATTAAAAGTAATGTAATCTTACTACCAACTCCACTTTTCATTTACTGTTTAATTTTTTAAATATATGTACTTAAACATGAAGTTTCCAAAGATAACTAAAATGTAGCTATAATTTTACAAAACACCTGTTAAAATTTAGGCTTCTAGTTTATTTCCAATTTCAAGCATTATTGTACATGTCATACTACACGTAAATATGGTTTCTGTTATGATAGCAACACAATCATCATTTTCCTTTTTTAAATAAACAAATTTGAAAATGCTCATTTTGCAAGTGAACTGAGAGTGATCAATGAGATTGTTTTGACTGAAATAGTGTATTGTTTCATTTCTTCTAAAAATATTCCTATTTAATACAATATTAACAGACTTCTTTCAAAATGCCTGATGTTTTAAACTAATCAACAGTACATAGTCTGCTCTAAAATTACTTCTACGTAAGCCACAGAATTTACTTCTAAAGAAATAACTGTATAAAAATGCAACATCTAATGGCAACTATGCAATTTCTAAGAATCTTTGAAATGAAATACTTAAAACACAAATGTAATATTTTAAAATTCAAAGCTTGCTTTAACACTTATAGTAGATTTTGCTAACTATTAAACAATTTTTTTAATTTAAAAAAAACTTTAGAAATCTGCAAAAGATACACCAGCAATGATGATTTACTCTGTTAATCCTTAACTTTACCAAGAATTATATTTATGAAATTGTGAACTTAGTATAATTATATTTTAATTCTTTGTTTAACTCTTCCACTGTCATGGGCACATATTTGTCCTTCCTCTAAAGCACTTACAAAGGCACATAATAGTGACAAACTATATACTCTCTGTTTTAGCTTTGATAAGCATGATACTAACCACATGTAACTTTGGATTTCTGTACCACCATGAAAAAAAGTATTCCCCTCAAAACATTACCAGTTTCAAGTTTCAGATAAGTAATGAAAGATAAAAATGTGTCTTTTTATTCTTCATCTAAAAATAAATCTTGCACTGGGAGAGTTCTTTGTACATATAAACATGACAATGAAAGAGCACAGCACTCACCAAAAATCCTTTTGACAATACTGACAGTATTCTGTTTTTCAATCAAAAGCTATGCATAAATCCCAATTTGTAATTGTTTTTTTCTATTTCTATTTCTAAAACTGTATATTTAAGTAATAAAGATTGGTTTGTACCTCAAATCATTTCTCAACTAAAGACTAACCTCACTAAGACATGCACCTAAACATATTGATATTTAGCATAATATTAGTGTGTTTACATGCACACAAGAGATTTCAGCCTTCAAACTTAGTTATGAAATTTAAACAGAATTAATAAGAAAGTATAACAAAGCTGAATTAACACTAACAATGCACACAATAACTGTAAATTTTGCATGTTTTTAACATTTAAGAATTTATTTCTTTATATTTGGAAAGTACCTCATGTTAACAGACACTACTAAGGACAAGATATTAGTGTTGTTATGATGAAACAAATAATCACAGTTTTCTAACTTAAATTGAATAATGATAATAACTACTTTTTAAAGTCACTTTATGAAATACAACTAGTTTGTGAAGTTTCAATTTTTATAAATGAATAAAAAGTGAAATTAAGCCAAATTTCCTATCTAAGTATACTACCACATCTTCTTGAGATTTAAACAAGCAAGTTAATTTTAAAGGCCTAATGCCTGTAATTTGCTCTTCATAAATATAGTTGCTAAACCATTTTTAGAATACAACACAAAAACTGTTAAGATTTTAAAAATCAATTCAACCACATACACTCAATACTTACAATCTGTTTTTCAGAGTACTTATTGGAGCTGAGAAGATTGACAGCTTCCATGTGACCAAAATCAATGTCATGGCCCAGAAGGAAAATAAACAACAACTTGCACACATACTTCTTCTTCTGATATCCATCAAGAGTTCTGTCACCTTTTAGAAACAACAAATGTATGTAATACACATCGAATATTTGCTCAAAAGCTTGGTGCATGTGCAAAAACATTTTGGTAGTGTTGCAAAGTATTAGCTATTTGTTCTGTGAAGAGATGAGTAAGCATTTCTCAAACTTGGAATTCCGAACCTCATCTGCAAGTGTTAACTTAGAAATTACCATTATTACAAATACTAATCAAACAAATTCTCAACAGAAAAAAAAAAGTGATGTGTGAGGTTTAAAATAAAGAGTTATTCTGTAAATAATACAATTTCAAATAAAATTCAAGCATGAAAACAAATTATCAAGAATTACCACGACAGTAAAAATCTTTAAGTTACAAAAAAACATGTCTTGTTTTCCACTTCTGGTACTGCAACCTCTACATCTGTTTTAACTTACAAGCTTTAATCTCTGCTTGAAAGCTATTTTCATACAATTACAGCTTTTTTTCATAGCAATATAATTCTCTCAGTAATCAAAATATTTATTAGAAGTCTAATCAAATGAAGCCAAATAATTAAATATTATTTTACATAAGTTACTTGTATATTACTTAGGTTGTGATAAAATTACTAATACTAAGTGGAGGCCATATTCAAATGGCGATAAAAACCTCACAATATTCATACTAGCATTCTTACACAAATAGATACATAATTTTTACCCCTGAATTTTGAACGGATGTTTGCAAGTTCCTTGTTGATCCTTTTGATTTCTGCCTCTTTACTTTTACCTAAAACATAAACATCAGAAGGTATAATTTGATTTTTGAAAATATTTACCGTAACATCAATAATCTTGTCAAACTGAAAAATGTATCTCACATATGAAAATTGCACAGTGAAGGACACATGAAAAATAGAAACTTCATATGTACTTACAGATGTATGTTCAAGTAATAAAAACATTGATAATTTAGACTAAACATAAGGTATCATAAAACAGGTGGAATAAAATCAGAATTAATGCTTAAATTTAACACTATGAAATGAGAACTGTGGCTTAATAGATTCCAACGTCAAAAATATTTCAAAGAATTCTTACATCTTTACTAGATAAAAATAACAAGGTGTATCAAATAGAAATAATTGTTTAAATCTGAAAACATGAACCATACTCTTCAGGTAATTAACAAACAAATAAAAAAATAATTTCAAAAATTTATTAGTATACACTTTCTCTAATTCTAATATAGCAGACACATAAACAGGCATGTTCTATTTAAACTCAAGGTTCATGTATAAATGTATTTGAAAAGTAATACATATTTTGACTTTCTGTAATTTTATGAAAGTACATTATTATTTATTGAATTCTGAACTTTCTGTCAGCCTTTTTCAGTTAGTAAAGCATTAAAATGTGAAATATAAAAAAAAACAAAAAAAACTCAATCTGAGAAGACTAAATAATTACAGGAAATTATGAAAAGTTTGTATCCAAATATAATATTACGACTATTAAACACATTTTTTGACCTCATTGCACATAAAAGATGTGCACAAATATGTATGTACAAGTCATTATATAAATACATACATACATAGTAAATCTGTATAGTATGTGTAGGAATAGTTACATATCAGTGTTCACTAACAGTGTACATGTAATTTTACTAGATGATGCAAAGCTGAAATACTATCACCCAATGTAACAAAATATATGGTTGTACTGGACATATTCATTAACCTTATATAATACATGTAAATGAATATCAAAAATATGTTGAAAGTAAATAATCTCAGTTACTGAAAAACACCAGGCACAGTATAGAGGAATAAGTCTCAAGAGTTAACAAAACTAATACACATATCACTGTAAGAAAGAAAAACCTTTAGCATAAGGTTACGTTACAATCAAAGTGTCATCTTAAAACACCACTTTAGAGTGTAAGAAAAGTAATACTGTATTAAAACTTGTGTATGTTCTTATTCAGTGAACTTCTAATAGACAAGGAAAGGTACAGAGAGTACAAACAGGTCCACAGATATGCAAAAAAAAAAGAAGAAAGAATAAGGTATAGAGAGAGAGAGCAAAGTGAAATTTATCTTAAAGCATGTCATATATATGTATGTGCAACTTATACATTTGTAAGCTGTATTTATATTTAAAAAAATATTGGTTTTTATAATGGAGTTTCTCTTTCAATATTGAAAGAAATCGGAGTTAATTTTTCACAGAAAGAAAAAATACCCAAAATGTTAAATATAAAACAAATGGTAGTGACAACTTTTTTTTGAGGTGGGGTGGGGTTCTAGCCATATTTCTCAACTCCCACCAAAATGGCATCTTAGTTAGGCCCTGAGCAAGGTCATGTTTGTTAAAATTTCTCGTATTCTTACTCAATTTTCAATATGCAAAGGTTAGCCAAAAAAAAAATAGCAACCCTTTCCTAACTAATGTTTTTTAATTTCAATGAGTTTTATTACAAGACAATGATACAAACATCTCGAAAAATAGCTGTAACATAAACCATGTATAACTTGAAAATAACGTTATTTTTTTCTCTCTAGTTCTAAGCACTTCATCTACAAAGCTGACAAGCATTATGGTTTGGAAATAATCCTTCTTTTTATTAAGCAAGTTATTATTTTATTTAGCAAGTCAAACAGGAAACATAAAAATAACACCATTAAACAAAAGAAGATTGCAGAATAGTAATGTGTGTAGTAAACAAGATTTTATGAGTTTACTAAAACAAAACTTAAATAGGTTTACAAATTCAAGATGGCACTTGGAGTTAAAAACCAATAAAACAGACTGACAACTAAATGGTTGAAAACAAAAAAAAAAGCAAAACAAAATGTTAAATAAAACAGAAATACAACTAACCTAAATTAGATTTACAAAAAATAGAATTACAATAAACTGAGAATAAAGTGTGAACAAACAAGGGAAAAATTAGAAAGATGGATTTCTTAACTTTCCTTGTATAAAGGTGAATAAACAGGAAGGGAGTGATATTAGGAATGCACAAAAAGGAGTTATGCATGGTAGATGTTACTTAACAATGTATTTAAATTAAGTACATGCTGAAAAGTTATATAAAATAAATTAACTGTAGAAAATACTGTAATTGGTAAACCACTGAGTCAACTGTTTTGTTTTATATTTATTGGTAGTATTTTTCTCTTAAAAATAACAAGATTATTTTTGTTACTTGTTCAATAATTTATTCATTAAGCTAAACAAAGCTTTAAATCTTCATCTTTCTGTATACTCACAAAGGTACGACAAAAATATCTGAACAATGTTGTATAATCTTTCAAGCCCATATAGGATTACATGAGATTTATATGGATAAATACATATACTGATAATTCATTAAACACTACTAACAAAACTAATAAAATTAAGTTTGGCAGAAATTCCTATGTTATCTTAAAGTCAATATTTACTCAAGCAAGTTAGGTGCTGATATTTACTCTTGTACTGTACTGGATTTTATTGATGCTGTTATGTGTAAATTTGTTAATGATCCCCTCTTTCTCATATTCTAAACTCATGGTCAGTTTGTACTTGTGATTAAAAAGCCCATAAAAAACACAAAATTGAAAAGGTGTAGTTCAAAATCCATGTACATCCAAAAAAATTACTGTAAAATGAGCCACTTAGAAGCTTTTCACTGATTTCTCCATTAAATGTTTATATGTTTATATCACATATCTATCACAACTAAGAATACATACATATAGCAATGTATTTATTGAGCCATTGATCCACAATAGTTTTCTCAAAGTTAGCTGACACTAAAGATGTTTCTTATCAGCACTTGGATTCAGTTTAAATTACTGCAATGTCTTCACATTTAAGAATACCAAAGATTTTGCAACAAGTTTTAACAACAAAAATATGGTTTCTTTTATAGAAGTCATAAAAACATTACATACATTCATACAAATTTGAATGTTTCCAAAATTTCACAACACAATAAAAGAAGCTTATTGGATTGCTAATCTAAACACTGTTCAACCTTTTGGAATTAATCTAGATCCTGGAATCAGTGATCTCCATTCATTAATTTCATCTCTGTCAGAAAAATAACTTATATTCTTTGCTTATTTTTTTCATGTAATGTGAATGCTGAATTTTCTAAATCTTACTATTTATTTAAGATAATTTTCATACCTGTTTTTATTAACTGATTAGCATAACATATCTTTTTCAATCAGTCTCCAGGTGTCACCTTTATTTTACCTAAACACTTAAGTATAGTTTTAAATATACGTATATTTAGCCATTTCTAAAGTAAAATATCCCTAACACCTTTTCACATACCCTCTCGCCATCGGCTACACTGTACCGGAAATTAGACGCTTATAACAATACATAGAGAAATAGACTAAACATTTCCTGGAAAACTGAATGATCTTCATGACGTCACTAAACTCCCTTTATATATATTCGATTACACCACCATTCCCAGTTTTCCCCTGAAGAGGTTTTGAAAGTGCTCGGGTTATAGGGATTTTATTCATTTCTATATTTGTACACTGTCATATATGTATGTATTATGCAACAACATACTTTACAGTTAATGAAGACCTAGTTGTTTTTCTAACAGCACAGACCTTTAAAAGATGAAGGCTACACATATTTTTCTATTAACTTTTTAAAATGAGAGTATGCAGAATTTTATTGGAGTTATATAGGTGTTGTTTCTTAATTTTATAACAGCCCTACTGAGGAGATTTAATTGAAGTCCCCAATCAATGAGCCTTGAGATACCATAACAGCAAATTGTTTTTGTTCAATCCTTGATTTATCTTAAGGAATGATACGTTAACATTTAAAGCAAGGCTAAATTATATGTACTTGTACTTTATTTTGGAAAACTCCTTTATAAACTCCAACAAAAGTCTTACTTTTAAACATACAATTACATCATTGTTTACAAATTAATGCAACTGCATCCAGTAAGTCCTAGATATAAGGAACAACATGAATGATGCTCTGATAAGAGCTGCTTGAATTTTTATAAAACATGTATAACAATAGACAAATCAATTGAGTAAGAAACAGGTAAAACTATTCAGCTAAAACTGCTGTATTCACCCGATTATAAGGTGATGTTTTTATTATTAATAATTAAGCTGTAAAATTCACAGTCGTCTAATAATTGTGGCCGACCACAGGACCCCTCCCCCTACTCTATCCTGTTACATTCCTGAATGTTCAGATAGCAGCCGTCTATGCATACATGCCAGAAGTTCACTCAAGGTCATTGCTAATTCTTGCAACTAATTCACCTGCAGGCTATTCAGTTACCATACTGATTTAGCTGGTGGATTATTGCTTTGACTGTGCTTGTTTTAAATTTTATAATAATTGTTGTCTGCGAGTCTCATTTCAGTGATCAACCCTAGTGCAAGAATGAGTGACCACATTGAAAGACAGGAAACAAGAAAGTGTCAAAGTAACAAAAGATTACGACAGAGTTATGATGCCAATCTTAAAATTATGATGGTGGGTGACGAAGAGAAAACAAAAAGAACAATTGTACTGCTGCTAGAAAATAATGTGAGGTGTTGGTGGAAACAAGAGACTGAACTCCTTAATGCACATTCTACAAGAAAGGCATTTCGTGGACCTAAAAAAAAAAGACATTACGACACTCAGTTTTTTTTCTCTCCCATAGTTTCTGAATACGGGGGTTGCCTTATATTGGCTCTATAATCAGGCCAATATGGCAAATTTTATCCCTTGTTTGAATTCATACATTTTGGCTACAAAGTCTGCTTTGAAAACAAAACCCCTTGAATTCATAAACTGTTTAGTTACTGTTGACATGCACAATAGTATATCTTATTGAAAAGCCAAATAATGTACCACTTGTATAATATTCCTCAGAAAATTCAGTTTTCTCTAGCTATACAAAGCATGTGAAACATCAAGAACCCCATCAAGAAAAAAAAGAGTATTCTTAAACACAAAAATATTCAAACTTTCATTAAGTTTCACTTAGATACTGCTGAAACAAATAGTACAATATTTATCAGTGTAGTCTTACTTTTGTTTAGCACAAATCCTGTTCAATTGAAATTTTACATTGTAAATGCAAAGTACAAAGGTAATAACCTACTCTAACAATTTAAGTGTTATGATAATTGCAACTTTCTGTGTGTATATATATATATATATATATATATTGCTACAGACAAATCTAGTATTGATCAATTTTTTCAAATTACATGTTGTACAATACTTGATACAATTTTACTGGACAAGTTTTGTGTTTGCACCTTATCTTAAATTTACCAATCTATTTCACTTGAAAACATTTTGGACACTTCAAATACAGTTTACACAATAACAAGAACTAAGAGACTTATCACTGTCTTACAATTCCTGATATCAGAGATGAACACAGCTAAGCCTCTCATACCATCACCTCTAACAGCAGGCATGATGACAAGTCTTCAGTAAGTTCCTGAAAACAGAGCAGTATAATTTTTATTCTCAATAAAGTGCACGGGTTAAAATAACAAAATAAAAAAACAACTGAGGTTGTACTAACAATTTTTAACTCACTATTTCTGAGAAATATCTATACACAGAACAACTATAAAACTCCATACTGGTGGATGAAGGGATCAGTTAGATGGGCCAAATCACCTTGCTCTCTCTCTCTCTTATCTCCTTAATATTAAATATAATAGGCTTCTTCAAGATTTTAGGACAAGTCTCAACAAGACCTGGAACTTGCTTTCAAAAAGTTTACAGAGATTTATTAAAACTTCTAATAAAGATAATAATAAAATTCAAGTTCCTCCCATCTGTAAGTAAACTTTGCAGTTTAGAAATCTCTTGTCCTTCATCAACAAAATCACTAGTAAAACCTTGTTTATACCTTCATATCAATACATGGACAATAAGAGACCATTTGGTCATTCAAGACTTTCCTTACACAACCATCCTTGAGAAAGTAGAAATTTAAACCCACTCTTTATTTTTCAGGAAATCATCTATTCCCTTCTTAAAATCTTGTAAAAGTACTGGCTTCCACTACTGTACACACACTCTTTACAAACAAAACTGGAGCCTAGTTTTCTCCAGTCTATCTTCTTGTTCTATAATCTTGAATATAGCATAAAGAAATCAAATGCCTTTATTCTATCAGTCCCCTGGATAATACTGTAAACTGCAACAATATCACCTCTTACTCTCCTTTTCTCAAGAGGAAATATGAGACCTTAATCTAGCCTTATGAGCTAACTCTTCCATCTCTGGGATCATACTCAAAAAGTTTTCCTCTGAATTCTTTCAAATATTTAATATCGTTTCTTGGATACACTGATGCAGTACCCTAATATGAAATCACTGTGACTGTATGTTACTATTGTTAGCTTAAGTTCTATTTCACATCTCAGCTTGTGAAATATAATTTAAGAATAAAATAAACACAGAAACTTCAACCACTTTTCACAATCACATTTCATGATGATGAGGGACCCACTTCAAGTATGTATGTATACACACACACATACATATATATATATATAAATATATATAAAGTATATAAATAAATCAAGCATAAATCAAGTAACAGACCTAAGGAGATCGAATCATAGTTACTTGTTTTGTGTCTTATATATATATACAACACTTCCATTTAAATTTCAATTACAGATAAAAACTTATTTCCAAGTTTGTTAGATTTGTAAAATATTAAATTTACAAGGAACTTACTATAGGTATATGAATAAATATGATCCATTATGTATGTTAGAATCTATCACCCAGAGCTGGCTGACTTGATTACCATAATTTTTATATGGTAAATGGAAACTGCACAATGGTGTACATGGGCTATTTTGTTTCAGGATTTTTGCCTGAGAAGGGGGAATAAAAAACACTCTGAATTCGTATACATTTACACTTTTTTTGAGACTTTTGCCTTTGAATTTAGTCTCAGACTCAAGTACTTAATCAGTTAAAAAAGTCAATTAATTAGCATCTAATGAAGTCATTAGGGATTAAATAACAAAGACAGAAGAGGAACATTACCCAACACTATCTTTTATCAATTTCTGCTTCCTCTAATGAGTACTCATTAAAGAGTTAGTTTAAAGTAAAATCACGCCTAAGATCGCTAAGCCTAAGCAATATCTACATCATCCAAACGCCGGTCGGTTGACCCAAGTTTTGTTTACCATAATGATACTGATAGCTATTCAGTAATATTTCTAATAATAAATATCACTATCAGTACCACTACTAGTACTTTGGTTTAAATTTTAATACTAATACATTGATACCCTCCAAACTCAAGTTACCAAATCGTCATTTGTATAAACTAAAAACTATAATTATAAATATAATACAACTTACACTTAACCGTTATTTGAACTTTTGCAGTTCTGAATCTTTGACGCTGTTAGTGGTACTATTAGGGTTAGTGTTAGTTAATATTAATAATATTACTAAAACTAGAAGTTACAGCTTACATTACACTTAAGAGATATTGTAAAAAGCTTACCAGTTAAACACTTGTAAAACTTTTGGTTAAAATAAAAGACAAAAAATTCCTGAGGAAAAAAAGGATATATACAAATTATTCTGCACCAGTGCAGACACTTAAACCTAATATAATATATAATAACTGTACAGTGTACTCAGATAAACTGTTTCTTATTCTCTCTCTCCGCAGGTAGAACTGAAAACGAGGCAGAAGAGACACCCACTGCTTTTTATGAATTTCCTTTTCCGGTAATCGAGAACACTGCGCAATTACAAATATATATGGTGACATCATAGACAAAGTAATTAGTTATGCCGTTTTTAATATTTTCATGAAATTCTATATATTTTTGCATTCCATTGTTATAAAGAAGGAACTTTAATTATTCGTTACTCTTATGTTAGTAGCGATTGTTTAAATTTCGAAAAGAGTGCGTTTTTTTACAATATACAAATAAAACAAAAAATTTAGGAAAACACTAAGAATTTGAGAGGGAGGAAAAAAATAAGTTACTCACACATATAAGTTTTCTTTAATAAGTGAATTACATCACATATAAAATAGTTGCTTAGCATAATTTTAATGTACTTTGAACCAGAATAGATATTTATCTAATACATAGGTCCTAATTTCATACTACTGACCAGAGAAAGAGCAAATCAGACAATAGTGCTCACGGCCTACTTTCAAATCTATAGTGTAATAAACTGATAAAATTGTAACGTACCTACATCCTTCAGCTGTAAGTGTAGAATGTGTAGATTCAAGCAATAGTCCTCATCTTGATCAGTTGATAAATGGAAACCAGGTCGAACAAGATGATCATATCAATTCTGAGCTTGTTAAGAAAAAAATGGGGAGTTTAGAGAATGATAAGGCTTCTGGGCCAGACAATATTTCTCCAGGAGTTTGAAGGAGGTTAAGGATTGGATATATGAGCCACTTGCTTCTTTTTTTAAGTCCTTGAATATTGGGCAGGTGCCAGAGAATTGAAAGTTGGCTACTGTTACTCATCTTTCAAGGGAGATGATAAAATGGTCCCAGAAAATATAGGCCTATCAGTCTTACATCAATTGTGAGAAAAGATTTGGAAAGTCTGATAAAAGATGCTTTGCAAAGTCATTTAACAAAGTTTAGAATTTTATTGGATAGTCAACATGGTTTCACTAAGGGAAAATCTTGCCTTACAAATCTTTGGACATTCTTTGAAAAGGTTGCTGTTTATTTAGATTAGGGTAAGGGTGTAGATTTGGTGTATCTGGATTTCAAAAAAGCATTTGGCAAGGTGCCACATAAAAGGTTTGTAAAAATAATCTCTATATGTGGTGAATAAGTTAGCTAATTTGACAGAAGTGTGGATGGATGGAAGAAAGTAGAGGATTGTTATAAATGGTGTTCAGTCAAACGGTATTAATGTCACAAGTGGGAAACCTCAGTTTTAGAACCCATGTTCCTTTTGATTTATATTAGTGACATAGATGAAGGAATGGTCAATAGATTACTTAAACTTGCTGATGATATTAAGATCTTGAGTGTTGCTAGCTGTGAGGATGCTGCTGCTGTTTTACAAAAGGATTTAGATCATTTAGTGAGTTGGGCGAATAAATGGCAAATGGGTTTTAATTACAATAAATGCAAGATAAAGCACGTAGTTTAATCTTCAAACATGTTTTTCTAATTAGCTTTCTTAGTGCATCTGCATTGGAAACTATACCTTTATGTCCTCTGGTATTTAATCCGGGCTGGTGAATAGCTCTGTTTTCCTTAGAGTAGAAGAGACTTGTTACATTATTTCTGCTTTCTAAAGCTTAAATGTAATATGGCATTACAAATTGATATTTCTAAAACTGTACGAAAAGGTTATATGTCTTGGTGCTTGTTCTAATTATTCCAGTTATCAACATTACAAAACTTTTGCACGAATCACGCCTGCTTTTTCTTTAACTGTTGCTCAAACGTAGTTTATAGTTTTGCCACTCATTATAGGTTGGTTTTTAAAACTCTTTTCAGTGGGTGTGATAAGAACTCATTTTCACACCCTTTATGAATTGTGGTTCTAGTTGGTTCGTAAAGCTCTAAGGAGACTGACTATTTTTTGGCTGGTGGTCTCCTGGTTTGTATCAAGGACCTCTGTTGGTTTTTTTAAGAGATTGTCTTTTCAACTGGACCAAATAATAGGAGTTCATGTGGCCAGCAATGGTAAGTGCTTGTTTGCTTGAGATATGATTATCCCAATGACCCACATGAGGCTAAATGGGGGTTTGGTTTATTTTGAATTTCGCGCAAAGCTACACGAAGGTTATCTGCACTAGTTGTTCCCAATTTAGCAGTAATAGACCAGAGTGAAAGCATCTAGGCAACACCACCCACCGCAAATTCTTGGGCTACACTTTTACCTACGAATAGTGGGATTGACCGTCACATTTTAATATCCCCATAGCTGAAAGGGTGAGCATGTTCGCGACGGGGATTCGAGCCCACTACCCGCAGATTGCGAGTCGAACTTCATAACTACCAGGTCATGCCAGGCCCAAATGGAGGTTTGAGAATATCTGTTTCCTGATGGACTGATAAAATTATAATATGCATTATGTTTATAAGCTTGTCTAGCTGAGATGAAACAAGTACCATGTCATATTAGAGTACAGTGGTGGGTACATTATATTAAAACTATTTTGTTTAGAAAAGAATCAAGTTATGTGACAACCGTAGTCAATATAAAGTCGCTGTGGAACTACATTGTGATATTTTTTTGGGTTAAATAGGTAGTATGGTGTTACCGAAAATTAATCACTTTTGTGGAAAGGAGGAATGTTATGCTTTGAACATGATAGCCTTCGACGAGCCTTTTGCAATAGAAACTATGCTGTAGAATTATTGTCTAGATATTTTGTTGTCAGATAAAGAATAACAGGACGTGGCGACATGGACTGTTTAGAAAACGATTTTACAACAGTTCATATTGTCGTTTCAATTTGAGTGTCCTAGGACTGTGAACCTTGCTGAATCACCCATTATTGTTTCCGAAGGATGCCTATAATAATCTCAACAATGAACCCATACAGGCCAGATGAATTACGTTCGTTATTTTAAAATGTATGAGAGGTTTATGGCTCAGATTCTTTTGTTGAATGTCCTGTTTGCTGGATTATTGATCAGAATCGGCACACTTAGTGCAGCTCTAGGTTTGTTTCGCACCATTCTGTGGGTGCTATGATCCACTGCCCCAGTGCTAATAGGCCTGCTAATAAAAAGATATTCTTGAATCTTGGGTTTTCAGATGTATAAGAGTACAAGGAATAACCTTTAACAATGCGAACTACAAAGATAACCCTTTTATACAGAAAATTTACCACTTTAAGAAGGGGTAATTTAATATATTATGCATAAAACGAATCACAGTTAAAACCCTTTAAACAAAGAAAATGTCATTTAAACCTACAAAACCATTTAAAGCATAATTAGTTATACACAATTGAACTCAAACTTAACTTAAAACATTACAATGCACATATACACTAAAGACTGAAAGAAAATTATTAGCCTAAACAACGTTAATATATACACTGCATAGAAGAGGCAAGTCCTTAGTTTAAGCTTTAATCCAAAGTATATGTACATGGTACATAATACGTTAAACTGAAAGTTAGTTATACAAAACACGTATACACACAAAATAATTACCAAAATTTACAGATAAGTCGGAAAGAGAAATAGTAAGTGATCTAAAGTAGTCTCAACAGCAAGTACTCCAAAGCAGCCATGGACTTATGGTGTAAAGCAGTGGTGTAGTGTATGATCTCTCTGGTTTTTGCAAGAATGTTCTGAGTTTTTATCAGATCTTGTTGGAGTTGTCACATTTCTTCCTTTAACTTATTGGGGTTTCGCATTACTTTAGCAGGCGGTCTTACCCTGAATTATATAATGCTCAGCCTCTGTTCACGTGGCTGACTGATCTTGTTAATGGCGTTTTTAAGCTGTTTACGGCTGGAGCAAGAGTTGGCGTTTTATCTTGGTTGGGTTTTTTATGGGAAGCATTACCTTCTCCAACGCCGCCACAAGAGCCATCGTAAAGAATGTCAGTGGCAGAGTGATAGAGGTGGACACTCTGGAGCTATTTATCAAGACTGCTATCACAGCTGGTTGATCTTTCACCAGTGTTGCCACAGTGACAGGTGCTACTTTCAGGGGGGTTTCTACTAATGTGATGCTGGTAGAGTTAGAAGAGATGCCTGAAGGAGCAACGATGTTGGAGCTGGCTTCTCATTTGATGGAACAAAGCTTCTGTCTAGGATAATCTTGCTATCCTGCTGGAGGTGTTCATACATATTGTATTTTCTACAAAGCATTCTCCCAAAGGGCACTTCATCATCTTCCTGCTCTGGTCCATTTTACTCGTTCTGGATTTTCTTCTTCTTTGTCTACAAGCGTGGTCACAAGTAAATAGACACCACCTTTTCAGCAAAAATTAACTTTTTCAGTCATGTTCACATGAATTGATATATTTATAATTCAATTAATATCTAGTAGATCTTCC